AAAGTTCATAGAAAAGGTTGTCCTCTTTCATCTAGTTTTAATATCTTATCTTGTTCATGTTTCAGATTAATCAGAAGATGATGAAATCTGCAATGATGAAAGACCTGTACTCTGAGATTGAACGACTCAAGCAAGGTTTTAACTCCACCCTTAATCTCTCATTGGTTGAATCCATATTTTATGTTTTTTTACATGCTTTGACTTTTGTTGACCAGAGGTCTATGCTACAAGAGAGAAGAATGGAATCTACATACCGAAAGATAGATATCTACAGGAAGAAGAAGAGAAGAAGGTACACATCTTCATGAAATTGCAATTTACACCACATCAATTTGAAAATACAGTTTACACCTTATAAATAGCAATCAAGACTGAAGTTCTTGTGATCTTCAGGCTATGGTGGAAAAAATAGAACGCATGGAACTCGATGCTGAGTCAAGGGGCAAGGTAGAATCTGAGACATATAATTCTCATAATTCTCAATTTTTTCTTAGAAAAATGACACTAATGATGATAAATTTTATAAACAGCAATTTATGGAGCTTCAGGAGCTTTATAACTCTCAGCAGCTAGTGAATGCAAATTTAACTGGAAAACTTGAGAGGACAGAAGTATGTTGTTATTCAAGTTCTTCTCTCAATAATACTTATCTTATAATTTTCATTTTTCTAGCATGAAATAATCATTTACTTATTGGATTTTTAGATAAAGCTCCAAGAAACTGAACATTCATTGTTGGATCTTGAAGAAAGACATAGACAAGCAAATATAACAATCAAAGAAAAAGAATTTCTTATCTTCAACCTTCTAAAGTCTGGTAAGCCATTGCTATATATCTTAACAGAATCATATCTATATATTTTTTTTAATTAACAAACTAATTTCAAAGTTTTATACTTTTATATTTTCAATTTAACAGAAAAAGCTCTTGTTGAGCGTGCATTTGACCTTCGATCAGAGCTTGAGAATGCTTCATCAGACGTGTCAAATCTGTTCACCAAGATTGGTACTTTCCACAAAAAAATCAAATATAATTACAAAAGATCATATGTTCTAAAATAAAAATTGTTATTCCAGAGAGAAAGGATAAAATAGAAGATGGAAACAGAATTCTTGTCCAACAATTCCAATCTGAGTTGACTCAACAACTTGACATCTTGCATAAAAGTGTAGCAGCTTCTGTCACACAACAAGAACAACAGCTTAAAGGCATGGAAGAAGATATGCAATCATTTGTATCAACCAAGGGTCAAGTATGACTTAAATTTACCAAATAAAATCTTTATATAATCAAAAACACATTAAAAACTGTTTTTTAATTTATTACAGGCTACTGAAGAACTCAGAGCTGGTTTACACAAGTTGAAATCATTATATGGTTGTGGTATTAATTCCCTTGATAATCTAGCAAATGAAGTCAATGGAAACTCACAGTCAACACTTGAACATCTTAATTCTCAAGTCTCCCAAAATTCTTCTGCTCTTGGAAACGTATGTTTTAATTTTGATTCAAGAATTCTTTGAAAGATTGTGTTACTGGTATGAAGTTATGTTTAATTACATTTATGTCCTTCAACACAGCTTTTTAAGGGTATTGCATCAGAAGCTGAGGATTTACTTAATGATCTTCAAAACATTCTCCATAGCCAAGAAAATAAACTAGCCACATACGCACAACAACAACAAGAGGCACATTGTCGAGCTGTTGAAACCTCGAGGGCTATTTCTGGCATTACTTCAAACTTTTTTGTTACCCTGGACATGCATGCAACGAAATTGACTGAAATTATTGAAGAGGGCCAAACTGCAAATGACCAAAAGTTATCTGAACTTGAAAGGAAGTTTGAGGTAATAATGATTATTATTTTTAACATTTTTTTTTTGGAAATGTATTTTTTTAGTCTTTTTTCTTATTTTTATACATGTAGGAATGTGCTGCCAATGAAGAAAGACAACTGCTTGAAAAAGTTGCAGAACTTCTTGCAGTTTCAAATGCTAGGAAGAAAGAACTGGTATGGGCATTTTAGACAATGTTTAGCTTCAACATGTAAAGATTTTTGAGCTTAATTTTATTTTGACCATATTGTTTGTAATTGTATTTGTAGGTTACAACATCAGTAAATGGTCTACGAGAAAGTGCAGTTACTAGAACCAAAACATTCCAACAAGAAATGTCAACCATGAAAGAATCAAACTCATCTGTCAGAATCCAATGTACAAATTACACTAAAAAAACAGAAACCCACTACCTTGAAGACACTACTTCGGTTGAAAACGGAAAGAATAACCTAAATGATGTTCTTCAAAATTGGTGGGTCCCATATTCCCCATAATTTTGACTATTATTATTATCCTTTACAACTTCTTATTCATTATTGATGTCATATTTATATTACAGTTTGCAAAAGGTACAAATGGGGTCACAACAATGGAGTAAAGCTCAAGAATCTTTGCTCAGTTTGGAGAACAACAATGTGGCTTCTGTGGATGAAATAGTTAGGTAAGTCCATAAATCAAGAAACTTTGCTAATTGCCACTTTGAACATTTATATGTATATTTTTTTTATAATACCATTTTACCCTTGTTACAGGGAAGGATTAAAAGCCAATCAAATTTTGCGTTCCCAATATTCGGTTGCAGCATCATCGGCGCTTAATGATACAAATGTCGCAAGCAATAACCTCCTTTCCTCAATTAACCGTGAGTATTTATTTACTTTTAAAAACATTTTGACTTCTCAATAAAAACAAACTTAATTCACTATTTTAATTTTTGATGTACAATGAGTTTCAGATTCTTTAGAACTTGATCATGATGCATGTCGGAATCTTGATTCCATGATTGTTCCTTGTTGTGGAGAATTGAGGGAATTGAAAGGTGGACACTATGACAAGATTGTAGAGATCACAGATAATGCAGGAAAAACCCTCCTGAATGACTACACGGTAACTTTTCTCATCTACCTAACATGTCGTAGAGTAATTACAGTTTTAGTCCCTGATTTTGCTCTTTTTTGGTTTTGGTCCCTAAAGAAATTGGTTTGCAATTTTGGTCCTTATTTGAGGTTTTATAACATTTTTGGTCCCTGTTCCAAGTATAGTGACTATATTATTCTTACCCTTTGAGTATTTTCAATATGATTGTTTATTAGATATTTATATTTGAGAAGATTACATTTTTGGTCCCTGAGTATAGCCTTTTTGTTTGTAATTTTGGTCCCAAAAAGTTTTATATTGCGATTTTGGTCCTTATTTGAGTTTCTTGTAACGTTTTTGGTCCCGGTCACAAGTAAAATGACTATTTTGGTCCCTATACATAGCCAATTTTTGCACATTTGGCCCCAAAAGTAGTCATTTTACTTGGTTCTGGGACAAAAAACGTTACAAAAACCTCAAATAAGGACCAAAATTGCAAACGAAAACTTTTTGGAACAAAAATTGAAAAAACCAGCTATACTCAGGTCCAAAAATGTAATTTACTCAATAAAATAAATTAAGGCTAAATGCAAGAGGAGATAACAGTATACTTTGAGTTTTTCTTAGTACTTGAGTGTTTTGGTGTAGGTTGATGAAGAATCATGCTCGACTCCAAGAAAGAGGGAATTCAATCTACCAACCACCACTTCCATTGAAGAGCTGCGGACCCCACCATTTGATGAGTTATTGAAATATTTTTGGGATTCAAAATCATCATCTCCAAGGTTGATATTAAATGGGGGCGATGCAAAGCATCTTGAAGCTGGTGCTCATTCCATGAGAGACTCACGATACCCACTCACTGCTGTTAATTGATCCAGGGGAAAAAAGGACGATCATATTTCTTTAAGAAAACTGTATATAAAAATATGTAATATATGATATGATTTACTACACAATATCCTATTCTTTATACACACAATTCAGTAGGTTTAAATTTAGGTTTGGATCTCTGAGTATTTCCGGGGTTCTGGTGTTGTTTGTTGAAATATGGTGTATGACTGCAATTTTTTTTTTCTTTGCTGTGTAATAGTATGATTCTTGTGTATGTATTGAGAAAGATTGAAATCAGAAGCTTGTGGGAAAAAATCAGAATTGATTTTATTTGTTACCAATGAAAAAAAATCAAAATCGATTCATATAGTTTACTTCTTCTTCGATCGATGGTGGTGAGAGACTCAATACGATGATTATTGCAGAAGAATTGCACGTCTCATTGTCTTCTCCATTGATTTTGTTTTGGCTCCATTTTATTTCCTTTTTCCTCTCAACTCCTATACATGATATATGAGGCTTTTTTTTTTTTTTTTTTTTTTTTTTTTCTATATTAACATAATAAATATTTAAGAATAGGCCCTAAAAATTTGGAGGCAGTCGCCTAAGCTGCCCCACCCATTGGCATGGCCATGCGTATAAGAAGAATTTGGGTTTGGTAAACCGTTATAAGAAGAACTAGGGTTTGCAATGCCATATTTGCAAGAACAACTTAATGATTGAATATATGAATTTGATCCTTCAAAATTCTATGGAACTTATACATAAAGGATCGAAAATGAAATAAGGTAATCAGTTTAACAAGCTGTACAACTGCCAACATACAATTTACTCTTCTACTATAAGGTAATTACAAGTATATCTTTATGCTATTTTGTAATCGTGCTGCTTCTAGTACTTGATATTGACCTTCTTTCTCTACCCCTATCTTCAATATCTCTAATTTATAACTATAAACACCATTTAAAGTGATATCATATTAGTGGTTATGGCCTTTCAGGACTTGCCCAGGTACAAAGAAATGAGTAACTCATGAATGAGGAAATGACTGATGGAAGATTGTGTTGATAGCCACTATACATACACATTTACATCAAAAACTTTGGGAACCATCCTTTTCTAACATAAAACACATGCTATTCGATACCAGGAGCAATATTGGAACTTCAATCGAGATTCACAACCCTAACAATGTATTCTGCATGTACATGTTAATTTCTAGGAACCAAAAATGTAAGAACAATCGCCTTTTAGAAGTTCTCCTTGTGGAAATCGAAGCGAGTTGAGGTTTCTATGCTAAGTTCTTTGGCAAGACTTTCCAGTGGTCTTACAAGCGTTGGGGCCCCACAATAGAATACACCTGTGGATCACCAATGGTCAAAAGGTTGCCAACAAACATGAAGAAACACTGTATCACATACTGAAACAAGGTGTTTACCAACTCTAGCAGAATCATGGTTGCTTGCCAAAGTGTTGAATACTCTCTTCCAGTTAGGTCTTGAAAAATGTGTTCTTATCTGTTATGCTCTATTCGTCAGAATCAAAATTCTAGTTGGAAAAAAGGATACAAAGATCACGATTTCAAAGAAAACATACACGACTTTGAGAGACGACATCAACTCCGTTTTTGGCATGTTGCAAAGACTGCACCATGGCAATAAGCGCCGATCGTGCATCTCCTTCTTCATGAACACAGGTTAAGTAGGTATGCATTTCGATCAGATGCTGTAATTAACATTAAAATCTTCTATTTAAAACAAAATTTTTACTTTTATTCGTGTTAGGACATCCACAGTGTGTTGAACTCTATAGAGTTCGATGGATTATCACATCATCTTTCTACTTTTTATACAACTTTTATAATTTTTTTTCTACAATGTTTTCAACTCTAAAAAAGTTCAATAGAACAATTTTAAAAAATCATTTATTTGTTAATCATTTATATTAAAAAAATTTCATTTTTCCATTGAACAGTTCAATGGCCATATGAAGTCCATATCCATTGAACGCCAACGACATACTCTTATGGTTGAGTTTAATTCATTGAATGCCAGCTAGCTAAGCATTGTACCTCATTCAACCATTCCATTTAACTGTGGATGCTCTTAAAAGAACAAGTGAGAATTCGTTTTTCTTAGAACCTACATTTTTATCGTACTCTGCAATATCATCCATAACTCCTTTGAACCATTCGAACGAGCCTTGCTCCCTCGTCACCCAATAGAAGTATGCTCGATCTGGGCCCTTCTCCTCAAAACCCTATAACAAAATTATTTAGCATATAAGTATATACCCATGTTTACGCTAACATGCTATTTTACTACTTACTACTGCTTCTCTTTGGTGGTTTAGGAGATCTTTCAAAATGCTTATGAATGGAGTCGCTCCTATACCCAAGCCAATTAGTAATAGGATGTCGTATTTTCTATAATCCTGAGCCGGCGCTCCATATGGCCCTTTGATGATAATTTTAGGGTACCTAGAAGAATAAACCGCGAAGATCATTAAACGAAACAAAAGCGTTTAAACAAATTGAGCTGGTTTCGAGGCTCACACTGCTTGTGCTTCCTCTATAGGAATATTTACATTCGCTTTAGTTTCCAATCGAACAAGGTTTCCTTTTATAGCTCTTGAAGAAGAAGCAGCAACTTGAGGTTTTTGTGGTGGAGGCTCGCAGGCCTGCATTTCTGTGTTTTAGAATTCAGATTAACAGAAAAAAAACAAAAGGTTGTAGATGAAAGAAGTATAATGAAGCTTCAGAATTTGGTACATTTAGCCTAAAATATGTTCCTTTACCTTCGCGAATTCTTCTTTAAGGGCCGTTGTCCAATCTCCTAAGGTCCGGATATGTACACTTAAATAGTCGTCTCCAGGTGCAGAAGTAATGGAGAATGGATGCCTGTGACAACAAATCAATCGATTATATATATATATATATATATATATATATATATATATATATATATATATATATATATATGGGGATAGAGAATATACATTACAGCCTCACCTAAGCTTAGGTACTAAACTTCTAAAATATGTCGTTTTAACATGCTAGTTATACCCGGTTTGGTTTTACTTGGTAAATATATCATCCTCCACAACATTTCTTTCTTTCATTATCGTTTTACCATCCCTGTTTTCTTTCCTCAATTATCGTTTATTACTTCACCCAAGTGAACATTACTAAACCCTAAACCTAAACCCTAAACCCTAAATTTAAACCCTAAACCCTAAACCTAAACACTAAACCCTAAATCTAAACCCTAAACCCTAAACCCTAAACCTAAACCTAAACCCTAAACCCTAAACCCTAAACCCTAAACCTAAACCTAAACCCTAAACCCTAAACCCTATTGTATCGACCTTGAATTTACATCTTGAATTATTAATCGTGAATCCATTAACCATAATCTTTATATAGTAAAACAATGTATTTTCAAGAGGTTTAGTACCTAAGCTTAGGTAGGGCTGTAATGTATATTCCCTTTTCCATATATATATATATATATATATATATATATATATATATATATATATATATATATATATATATATAGGCTTTTGAAGATCAAAGTGGTGTATGTATATATACCATTCAACGCCTGATATATCCGGACATTTAACAAAGAGATACATCCCGCTCTTGTACTTGAATCCATGGGGTCTACTCATGTAGAGCGCTAGCACGTTTCCAGTGTATATGATAGCCTAAAGTAATCAATACAACAAACTCAGAAGGCACATTGTGTGTTAAAATATCATGACTAGCTTAATAGAACCAACCTTAGTATCTATAAGAAATTAGATTGTTCTAGAATCCTCTGGAACATTCTAGATTATTATGGAAAACTATGGAAGATTCCAGAATATACCGATAGACTCTAGAATATTCTAGAAGACTGAAAGATACTGGAATGTCCTAGACTTCTCTCGGACACGGTGAACATTCTAGAAGCTTTTAATAGATATAGAGTATGGTAGAAATGAGAGTAGCACCATTGTTCACCTTAACGATATTGACTCGATGTTGATGATCACCGGCGGTAAAGACTCTCTCAGTTGAATACATTAGCATCGGGACCACAAGATACATCCATGTCTGCAAGGTAACTTTGCAGATTATTCAAATCTCGAAGAGACTATTATAAGTTACAATAAAGAAAAGAGGGTAAATCGTTCCATTGACTTACTGTTTTATTATACCAAAATGTGGCAAAGACCAGGAAGTATCCATGAAGGATCAACAAGATGTATACGATAACCAGAAGATGATGAGCATACCAAAAGGAAGTAAAACCTGCTAAGTGGTTAAATGGCCATGGCAAATGGATCACATTTCTCCTGAAAGCGTGTGTGGCGAGGAGAAAGCAAAAGAACATCATAACATCCATTACAATCCCCGTACATCCTGGGACTGTTAGTAGTAAGTCCACGTATGTTGGCTGCGCTGCCAGCAAATTACCATAAACACGCTGGAAAGTGTCCGCAGGGCAAGTGGTAATCCTTATAAAATTGCAACCCAAGTGAGCAACAGTATGAGCTATAGTGCCAATTACAATGAAAACCGCAATGACTTTGTGGAAGTTAATGTTATCGTCAAAAGGGAAAATTTTGCCAAGAAACGTTTCACGTAACGCAGTGAGTGTTCTTCTGCAAACTGGAACGAGAATTAGAGCCATGTTAAGCTTTAGGGTTTCACCCGCAGCCTTGGCTGTACATACGCAATAACCCATGACTTGGAACGTTGGCAATAGGCTATACTGATGGAATTTCCATGCAAAAAGCGCGATGTTAAGAAGGAGAAGTAAAATTACTACGAATATTCTTTTCCGGTTATCTATTACAGCTTCTGTCCATTCGTTAATGCGTCTGCTAATTGGATTGCGATACTTTGATGGGATCATCGTTTTTACTAGAATTGTGGTTTCTTCATTCTTCTTCTTGATGTTCGTTAATTGGGGGTTTGTTTCATTTGACACCATACCCGTAAGCAGGATTTCAAGTTGCCACATCTGTTCCAGAAATAAAACACTTTAGAAAAATAGAAAACACGAGTTAAAAACAAGAAATATGCACCAAAATAGTATATGTTTGTAACCTCTATGTAGCCACGGTGGTCGGGATCCAACTCGTCCATGATTAGAGCTGCATAGGTCCCGGCTTGGTTCTTGAAATTCGAAAGCTTGTTTGCCGCAGCACTCATTATAAGTACCTAAAACGTACAGGAGATGAACTTGAGCTTGGAGAAGCGAATTAACAAGAAAAAAATTGGCTTCTAATTAATGTCTCACCTCTTTTACCTCATCTTCTGATAATATCCCATCTCCGTTCTTGTCACACCTGACATTAACTCGTTTAGAAGCTCAGATTATAAGAATCGATTTTCATTGTGATTCTAGTTTGACTTTTTCAAAAGCAATAAACGTCAAACACATAAACTAACTTACATGTCAAAGAAGATGCTAAGCCGAGCGTCAAGGTCTTTCTTTGTCATCTCTTCCCAAAAACTCCTGATTTGATCTTTAGTGAGCCCACCTTCGGCGTCAATGTTCCTACGCCTAGCCATGGCATCATACAATTCTCCCGCAAACTCAATGCTATCTCCCATCCCTACAAATATAAAGGAAATGTTCAACAAAGAAGTTATATTGCATTAATCTTAGACACAATATTTTCAAATCTTTCTAACCAACACAAATTCCGAATTTATCTCTAGGTAGCTTTCCATCCACCGAAAACTGATTGAAACGTCGATCAATTGCTCTCCATGCATCCCCTTCTTTTCCAGTTACCGTTCTATCAAGAAACCGCAAGCTGTTAAGCCCTTTGGCTGCACTTGAGGTTGTTCGGCCAATCTTAGGCTCCCCGCCACCAGGGAGAGCCTTCTTTCGGGTAGATTTTGCCTTACTAGAGTTGCGGCTCAATATTGGTAGCAACCCGCCTTGCTTGCTTCCATTATCTGTGACACGTTTTGATGCTCGGTCTTTCGCATTTGCTGCAAATGATTTTTGATCCATCGGGTCGATCTCAACGCTCTCAAGATCCACCCCCTTCATTGTGTTTCAGGTTAACTTTTCGAACATCAAAAAAAAGAGAGAATATTTTGTTTTGATTTTGGAAATGCAAAAGAAGGAAAGAAAGATGAAGATGAAATGTGTAATGGGGAATGTATGCGGAAATGAGCGGGAGGAAATGAATGGACTAAACATGGGAAAATCTTAGAGGTTGTTAAGTTGCTTTTCCAAAATTAGAAACAAACACACATGTTCCTTTAATTTTATGAACCATAAATTTGACTCGAGTTGAATCATATCGACTCTAAGTTATTATGTTTTTTGGTTAATCGCATAATATCTATTTTTGGCTACTTGAACTTTATTTGAGCAAGTCAATGAAAACCTTTATAACTTTCAATTGCCAATGGATATAACTTTCAATTTGTAAGTTACAACTTGGGACACTACTAGAAAATAGGTGTATTATACTTCCAAAATTTTACTCTAAGGATAGAAAAGCCCTATTTTTACATTTTTCCGAGGACGGTCTTCCAACGGTCTCAACATATTCAAAGCCTTCGTTGATATGTCGATAATTTACCGATGGATTTTAATAACTTTATATTGGTCGTAATTTGAAATGAGTTTGTGTATGTATGTTTTGTTATATTTTGGGTTTTGAATATTAATGAAAATACTTTGATGATTCAATGATCGTGTATACAAAACTCTTTATAAAATATGTGATTTCGACCCTATTATTTGAGATTTTACGAAATTTGATTTAGGATAATCCAAGAAAATCGAATTGGAACATGCCTGTTCCAAATCCTAAAACACAAAATTACCTTGCTTTGTATTTTTTTTTATATATAAAATCGCATACTTTCACATTCTAATTAGTGATCACAATATAATGAGTGAGAAGACAAATGAGCAACAAGTTGCACCGCTAAACCTCTTTGCATGATAAAATCAACTTTTTTTAAGACTACATCCATAGATCTAGGGGACATAACATTGCTATACATGATCCATTGTACTTTATTAAGAAGCTTTGTCACATCCGACGCGAGGAAACCAAACGTATCAAACACTAATGATATGAACACGTGTTGATTTTCCATGTATGATTTCTCATGTAGTGACTTTGCATGTAGCAGCTTTTAAAGTATCCTGTCCCACCTTAAAACCACCAATCCTTAAGCCCACGAGAGGGGATACCTGTTGGAAATGGTGCACAAGGTCATACCCCTGTAAGGTTCACACAAGCGTGTTTTCCTCTAACCCATCCAAAAACCAAAACGTCAATTGGTCTAAGGGTTGACCTTCCTTCTGCCGGGTCAGTCGAGAAATTCACAGGAACCTCTTTCTTGGCGAAAACCCCAACACAGTTAAACATGTCAAGTAAAACATCTCTAACCATATTGTGTTGGTATTTGAACCCCCGCGAGTTCTTTACAATGGACCACATGTTCTCCAAAGGAGTCCGAACATGCATTGCGACAAACCAGACATATCTCGTCAACTAGGACTATTGGGATCATCATTCGATATTTAAGGATAGTATGATACTCCACAAGAGACATATGTTGGCCAAGTCCATCTATAGAGATAGTTAGAATAAAATATTAATCATGTGGTGCTCGTAAACTACTTTCTGTTGAAATGAATTTCAATGTCTTGGACAATTTTACTAAAAAGGGCACTCACCACTGTATGCGGGGATTTAAGGGGGTGGGGTCCTTATTAGTGAAATTGCTAAAGTTAATGCTTGGAAATGTGTTACGAAAAGATTCCAAGGAACAAGCATAATCAGAATCCATAATAGTTGCTATCCCATAAGATGTGGTATTGTTAGAACCGACCCAAGATTGGCCCTTTAAGACAACAAAAGCATATGAGGTAACCTTTACTGCCGAGTACAAACCAAAAATACCAAACTTAATAGGTAGGGAAGCAATTCACCAATGTATGTCGCCAAAGAAAGGGCCACCATAAACCACGATGTCCTTTATCGCACCACACAATCCTTTGTCAAAGAACAACGTTGCCTCCTCCATGTGAGTGGGTTGGTGCGTGCTTAACCTAAAGAAAAGTTTAGCAATACCCATACAAGACTGAAGCAAAAGGAGCTCACTCTGGGGCCAAATAGGTGTGGAAGAAGGCACATCAAATTCACAATGTTTTTGGCTCTCTTTATGGCTAAGCTGCTAATGAAATTAACGTCTCTACTAACAACTCCCCCAATAAGTTTATGTTGAGTTTTCTATGCATCTTTACATTAGATTAAGGCAACGAAAGAATTTAAAAATTAATCCTAAGTGTACATGCACCCTAGATCTAGGTTTGGTCAAGATGGTATGACGTTGATTTAGTGGTGGAAGCGTAGGTTGTGAGATGGTGATATGGCGGTAATGGTGATGGTGTTGTGATTCTGATCAAAGTTGGTGGTAATTTTGGTATTTGCAATGCCTACATAGGTAATAGTCATAAGTCCCTTGAATTTACTTTCTTTTTTATGTATCAATTCCATGTATACAAACAATTCTCTTGTGTTCCAAACAAGTTATGGCTACAATTACCAAATGACATATGCTCCATATTCTATGTCTCTGCAACTCACCCTTCTATTAATGTTGATGTTTAGTTATACCACGCCTCTTGTATTGAAGATTATAATGGTTATAAGTTTTAATTAATAGAAAGAGGGCCCACACTTAAGAAACTCTTTCAAGTAATGCTTGGTGTTGGACATCTTGATCATTCCATTGTCTTGAATGAAAATGTATGAGTCTTTCTTGCAAATATTAATATTTATTCATCCCATTTGTAAACTTTATATTTGTTTACATCCAATTTGTAAACTTTAGGATTTTGGTGTGTAGCTCTAAAGCTAAATATAAAAAGTCAAAAAGTTTACTTATGTAGTACACTATTACAATGTATCAATTTTCTGATTTATCTAATATTTATGGATAAAATGAATAGTGTTATTGTTTTTTATTTACTTATGTAGTACACTGTTAGGATGATGGATTATGAATTAGAATATAAAAAATTTGACTTATAATTATGGGATCACTGAATATGATAAAAGAAGTGCCTATGCTCACGTTAATTTTTTTTTTTCATTTTTTGTGAATTATATGGATTCGAAAGAATAAACTTGGGAACTAATTTTGTTCAGGTATGTGTATTTGAAAAAATATAAGGGTTAAAGTTGTATTTTGCCTTACAATGATAGCTTCCCTTTTTCGTGGGCCATCAAAGTAGAAAGGTGTTGCCACATGGAAGGACGGAGGGATGCATTGGTGGGATTGATTGGGAAAAATTACAGGTTTGCGGGTAATTAAGTCGCATGGTTATTAGAAGTTAATTTTTTACCCATAATAACAATGTACTTTTGTTTTTTACCCATAATAACAGTGTACTTTTTTTGTTTACCCATAATAACAAAATTCTTATATTTTTATCCATAATAGCAACATATTTTGGCTTATTGTGGTGCAGTTCCAGATCAAAGAAAAGCATGGTTATTAGAAGTTATTTTTTTAATTACTTTATACGCTTAAATCAACTTTTTTTATTATAAAGTATATCTTATTCATACAAGATTAAAAATGTCACTATACTCCTAATAGTTCTTAGTACACACAAATTCATCTTCTTTTTGATGTAAAAGCATATTATATTCTTCTTATTAAAATGATGATCCCAACTTTGAAATGTTTGATTTAAATCCATATATAGATCTCTGAATCGTCTTATTTAAAATCCATTACACATTCTTTCCCATAAAGCAAACACAAACACGTGGCATATGGTGATGTTTGGCCATATTATTCGACCGTGGCTAAACGATAGATGTAGACACACAAACAATTAAAAAAACGTCACCATAATATACTTACAATCACTTGTTTTGTTAAGTTTAGTAATGTAACGTCCCATTTTCACACAAAAATCATTTTTAATTAAGATAAAACACTATTTCTATAAAAGCCCAAGTTAAGAAAATTCATTTGTTCCAAAATACACTTGTTTGAAAACCAGAGTAATATAATAAATGCAGAATCCCCAATGCTGCTAATGAGTGTGTACAGTCACACCTTTGCCTTCTCACGGTTACCAATGGTACCTGAAAAACATTTAATCCAAAATTGTAAGCTAAAGCTTAGTGAGTTCCCCCAAAATACCACACACCAAAATACACATACAATGCATGCACACACACACATGGGCCTTCAGTCTGACTGGACCGCCTCGCGAGGCCTTCAGTCTTATGAGTGTGTACAGACACGACTTTTCCTTCCCACGATCATCAATGGTACCTGAAAAACATTTAATCCACAACTGTAATCCAAAGCTTAGCGAGTTCCCCTAAATTACTACACACCACAATACACATATAATGCATGCACACATACATACACACGAGCCTTTAGTCTGACTGGACCGCCTCGCAAAGCCTACAGTACACATGGACCACTCACTTAGGCCTCCAGTCCATAACTGGTCCCCCCTCCCGTACTGTGCAAACCCGGAAAATTTTTGATTATAAATCCCAGTCAATCAACTCAACTGAGTGTCAAACTCATTAGTACTGAGTTCTAGCCCGGCTAAAGGACATTCTAAGGAGTTTTAAGCCTAATACACTTAAGGAATAACTGTTAGAAAGTACCTGCTAGAACCACAGTGTAGCAAATCAAACCTTAACCTCATCAAAATGAGTTCACGGCCACAAGGCAATGAGTTTACGGCCGTAAAATCATGTGGCCGTAAACTCAAGTGTATATATATGGTCCTTGGCCATTTTTCTCATTCTTTCCTTTCCTTGGCCGATTTTCTTCAAATCCTCTCAAGTATCATCAAGATTTTCCTTCCTAGATCTTCAAAAGATGTAAGTATTCTTCCTAGATTTGTTGATACATATCTTAATCTAGTATCCTTCCATGATTTCATCCATAGAAATCACTATGTTCTTAGATCTTCAAGTTTCACCAAGAACACCAAGAACACACACTAGTGTTCTTGGCCAAAACTGACCATTTCAAGCT